TCCAAATTATTTCTTAACATTGATGGAAATGCATCCAACTTTGACAACTTTGCAGTTGAGCTGTCTTGTATCGACCACAAATTCTCTGTTATCGGCCTTGCAGAAACAAACACCAATCCCGAAAATGGAGCCCTGTATCAGCTTAACGGATACTCCTCCTGTTACCAATCACGTTACTTTTGTCAAAAGAAAAACCAGTTCAAGAGTAAAGGGTCAGGAGTGTGTCTTTACCTGCACGATTCCCTTAACTTTAACAAGATTACTGGCTTATCTCTCTGTAATGAACACATAGAATCACTATTTGTATCTATCACTAGCTTGCAAGACCCAACTGTTGTAGGGGTTATCTACCGTCCCCCGAACGCATCACTTGAACTGTTCAACGAAGCATATGAACGTATTCTCTCAAAATTGAATGGCAAAAAAGTATACATTCTTGGTGATTTCAATGTCAACATTTTGAAAGACCCATCTCCATCAGAGGACAAATTCCAAGAAATAATATTCAACAACGGCTTCACACCAACCATATCAGTACCAACACACCAAATGCCTGGCTGTTCCAGGACTTGTATTGACAATATCCACACCAATGTAGTAGACCAATCCCTTATTTCTGGTGTGATATCTGATAATATCTCCCACCATCACCCTGTATTCACTCTTGTTGAGCTTCCCCCTAACTCTGTGCCTAAACCTGATTCACCAGACAAAATTACCATACACTACGACTATAGTAATGCTAACCTAGAGAAGCTCTGTCTTGAAATAGAAAACGATATAGATAGGTTCCAGCACAGCTGTGACACATTTGACTCTTTCATGCAGTTATTTCAAGAAAAGATAGATTTGTCTTGCAAACTTCTTACTCCTAGAACCACTAAACGCAACAGCATAACTAACCCTTGGATTACCCAGGGGCTAATTAATTCCATAGACAAGAAAGCTAGGTTGTATTTCGAATGGAAGAAGACTTGTACATTAAAACTACCTGACGGGGATCAAAACAAGCACATCTGCTACAAGGAATTCGACAAGTTTCTCAAAAACTCAATAAATATGGCAAAAGCTATGTGCTATACTAGAAAATTCGAGAAGTACAGCATGAACTCAAAAAAGACCTGGGAAGTTATCAATGAACTCCGTGGTAAGAATATGTCTAGATGTAAGGACGATTTTGTCATAGATGGCCAGAGAATTACTTGCAGACGAATAATTGCTAACAAATTTTGTGAATACTTTACATCTCTTGCAAGCAATCTCAATAGAAATGTATTGTCGAACAATAGTATTTCTCTGGAACCAGTAGAATCATTTGCTCAATTCATGTCTAATTCAGTGTCTGACTCCATATACCTAGAAGAAACTAATGAAGATGAGATTATCGAGGTCATCAGAGATTTTCAAAATGGCAAGGCAAGTGACATACCTATAATCGTTGTAAAAAAATCGGCAAAGCTCATCGCTGGTACCTTGGCTAGGCTTTACAACATATGTATACAAAGTGGAACATTCCCAAGTATTTTTAAAACTGGTAAAGTTATTCCTATTTACAAGAAAGACAATAAGGAATGTATTGAAAATTATCGGCCTGTATCAATATTACCTTTATTTGGAAAAATTTTCGAGAAGGTCATTTACAAACGGCTCTATAATTTCTTCACATCTAAAGGTGTACTAACAGACTCGCAGTTTGGATTTAGAAAAGGCCATTCTACCGCCCATGCTCTACACAAATCTATAGACTCTGTTACAAAGTCCCTGGCTAGCAATAAACATGTCCTAGGCATATTCATTGACTTGAGCAAAGCCTTTGACACCCTTGATCACAATATTCTTCTAAGCAAGCTAAATTCCTATGGTATTAGGGGCACAGCACTAACTTTACTAAAAAGCTACTTGACTAACAGAAAGCAGTATGTGATGTATAACGATGTACCATCAGAAACAATGGATGTGGAATTCGGGGTTCCTCAAGGGTCAATTCTAGGGCCATTACTCTTCCTACTGTATATGAACGATATAGTAAACTGTTTTTCAGACAGTGAAGTGAAATTTGTACTTTATGCTGATGACACTAATATCTTCATATCAGGACCGTCTAGAGAAGCAACATACAAAAAAGCCAACTTAGTGCTTAAACATGTCTCGATTTATATGAAATGTAATCTACTTCATATCAACATGTCAAAATGCTGCTACATCCATTTTAAACCTGCCTCTGAATATGATGACACTTGTGCACGGACTAGACCATTTGCTACCCTGCTAGATGAATCTAGATCAATATTCATCAATGGTAAGGTTATCACTAAAGTCAAGGATACCAAATTTTAGGTGTTGTTATAGATAGTAAGCTAAACTGGTCTGCCCACATGCACTACATCCGTAAAAAACTGAGGTCCATGACTGGTGCAATCTGTAGAATTCGGCACTCGATACCTGCTGAACTATATTTAAAAATATATAATGCTCTATTTGAATCACATCTAAGTTATGGTATAAGTGTTTGGGGAGTTGTCCTCAAAGAACGGTCAAATGATAGTCTTTTTATCACACAGAAGCACTGTATAAGAATCCTTTTTGGTGATCTCGACTCATATCTAGATAAACAATCAACATGTGCAAGAACTAGACCATATGGCATGCAAATACTAGGCCATAAACATTTTGAAAAGGAGCATACGAAACCCATTTTTAATAGGTTAAAAATTCTTACGGCTCAAAACTTGTACAAATATCACTGTATTTTAGAATTCTCTAAGATTATCAAGTACCACTGCCCATACTCCCTTTATGAGGCTATCAACATTTCAAACCGTGCAACGAGTCTAACAGTTATTCTTCTAAATAAATCAAATACCTTTTTGTTTAATGCAGCCAAGCTTTGGAACACTGTTCATAAAAAAATTTTAACTTCAAGCAATTGTCTAGAAACTTCCATTAACTTGATAAAATTGAGAACGAAAGCACTATTAATACAATCACAGGCTGCTGACTTAAAAGAGACTTGGACTCCAAACAATTTTAAGTTACAGTAATTTAATCTAATTGCAGCGGCACATAACATAATTTAAACTATTGCTATCATTATTGTACTACAGACTGAAAATATCTCAGATCTATTTTGGGCGTTTTTAACAACTTGTAGTTGTAATTCTTAAATATTAGATATTTATAACTTTTTAATCAGAGTGAATTAATAATTGATATTTGATAATTTATTTATTTGATAGTTTAGTCTGATATTGATATTAATATTGATTATATTGATATTGTTATTATTGAATGAAGCTAACACCAGACATAAATAATACTACTTCTATTAACAAAGGGACTTGGAGTATAAACGACCAATTTTGCATAATTGTCTTTCCAACCAAGAATTCAGGAGGCAAGGGTGGGTGCGTAAACTTTATGGTCTGCACTCTCAGATCCTGTATCACCCTGGATTCATTTCGACGTATTTTTGGTAAAAGTATACATATACTTTCTGGTCACTCTCTTGCTACTCCAAGTCCCCTAATATATATGGTCTAAAGTTTGCACTAGTTATATTTATAAAATATGTTTTTGTCTGCTTTAACTGATACTAAATAAAATTGTTGTTTTCTTGTTTTCTTTGACTAGCAGATCGCGAGTTCGAGACCCGGAAAGGAATTTTTTCACAATCTTTTGGCAATTATGAATAACTATACTAATGAATAACTAAACCTCTGTAATACAACTAGCAAAGTAAAATGAAATCGTTATCCGGCCGCGGAGCGGCCGAAAAATTTATGGTAGTCGTTTTAAAAATATATGGTAGCCGTTTTTTCTTTCCAGACTGGATTCCTAGTCCCTTTTTAAATTTATGTCACTGGGATCTTTGGCCCGCCGTTTTCTTCTCACAATCTTTCGATTTGTGGGCACCTGCACAGTAGAAGCACACTGGGTCGGCATTATACTTCTTACACTTACAGTAATCACTGCCACTCATGTGTCCGAAGCTCTGACAGTCAAAGCACTGGATTACATGATACCTATCCTTAACTTTATACTGTCCAAGATCAGCGTGTACACAGTCACCTGACTCCCTTATAGACTGCCTGATTTTCACTGACACTTGTAGGCATGCCCAGGTCTTGTTTTTCTCCAGGAAAATAACCTTGAAAGTGTTGTTCTCATCTTCAACTAAACTCTTAATGGAACTGTTCTTATCAAGGATGCTCTGGCGCAATTCTTCAGATGACTCAAAATCTCCCTTGAGATCATACATAGTAAGCTTAGGTTCAAGCATTGTCACGGTGTGAGATTTTGCAGACACTTTGTAGTCCACACTAAGAGCATCTTTAGCTTTCTCCATAAGTTCCTTGTTCTTGAATATTAACCTTGCTGTGCCTTCTTTGACACCTGAGACCCCCTTAATAGGGATGCTGGGCAGTATTGATGCAACATGTTTCTTCACCTTTGAGGACCAGAGTTCTTCTGTTATCTTATCTGCCTCATTCTGCCCTTCCAGAGTTAAAGTATGAGTCTCACTGGGTCCGAGATTGGTCTTAATCTCAGGTATAATATCTGGACCACCTTTATTGTGCTCAATGAGAATTTGTCTAAATTGTGCTAGCTCCTTTCTCACTATATCCAGTGCCTCGGTAGCTGTCCCTTCCTGTGGTGCAGGTGTGTCTAGTATAGACTTGGTCTTCAGTAGTGACACGGCCCTCTTACTGAAACTGTATAGTTCCTTTATAACTTCAAACATATCTGGCTTGTTATTCCCTGCGGGTAAGTCTAAGGAATCTGCAATTATAGTATCCAACTTCTTCTTACCTTTTAAACTGTCGTTTAACGTTTCTAACTCCTTTTTCATCTTGTCATAGACATCAGTGATAACCATTGCTGTAAAGGATTTGAGACCTCTCTACTTTAACTCAAACCAAATAAATATAGTGGTAAGTGCTGAAAAGTACTTGATAAACCCACTAAAAGCTGTTGGTCGTCGTTTAAAACGCAGTAAAAACCTCAAATTATTTGTTATATAGTAGTGTTGAAAGTATTAAAACTTAAATTCAAAAATTTATGATATGTATTGATTGAATAATTGGTAATAAATTTAACTTTTGTTACAAAAAAAACAATCAGGCATTTGGTGTAAGATTGTGGAATTGGAAAATCGAGTGTTGTTTCATATATTGTCTTCGTGTTTACTACTTATTTTATGATTTTTCTCTGGATCATCTTGGAATAACTGCAGCTTGATAATACCAGCTGTATTGGTCTGTAATTTTCTAAACATTTTTTCATCCTTTAACCCCTGATGAGATCACTGATTGGGTGACAAAATCGCTGATTGGGTGACAGGGTCGCATGTCTGCGGGATCTTAGAAGGGCAACGGTAGTGGGGGAGAGGGAGTAGCGTGCGACACCCTCTGTAATCAATGGGATTTTGCATGGGTTTCGGGGTTCTGGGTTTGACCAATGGCTGTGTTCGCTGGGATTTTTGTGAAGTTCTGACGCGAGTGACATATTATACATGATACATTATTATTCCATTAGGTTTGAGGTGAATAAAGGTTTTCAATGGATCCTAATATAAAAGTGAGATTAGTTCTGCTTTTGGATTTGTCAGTTCATTTGTTTGCATACATGTCATATGTTAAATATATCATACATTATCATGCATTCACATAATTTGTAAACGACCAAGCTCCATCAAGCTAAATCAACATATTGACTGGCCCTTAGACTACTAGCCAGCAAGTCCCCATTGTTGAGATTGTGCTGAGGCACACTACATTATGAACATATATTACCTATTACTTCACGTTGAAACTTACATTGAAGCATACATTATGTTTTAAATGCCCGAAGTCATCATCTCCACTTTTCACAGCCTTAATTAAACAAATGTGACAATCAAATTGTTTATTGTAGGCAGGCCCGGCCCTGTCCCACATCCAGAAATTTAAGATTACACATTTCAATCATGTATTTCTGATCCATAACATTGCACAATCAGCATACATGGACACACAATTGAGATACATTGACACAATTCATAGGCTTATGTTTGTAAGTAATTATTATCAATTCATTGACATGATCTATTGATTAATTGATTACTTCACTTTCGTTTTAAAATTGGGTGTGATTCGTATATAAAATATGCAAATTGATTACCTAAGATACACTTAGTCATGATTTCAAATGACTTTTACCATTTCAATTTGATTATCCATTTTCAGCTTGTAGCTGGCATCACAACGATGGTGTGTGTTTCTCTAGCGACCTTGTACTATCTCGTTAGCAAGAAGAAACGACAAGTCACCCTCAACCCAGACGTCAAGGTTCCACTTGAACTCATCAAAAAAGAGGTTTAAATTTCACTTATAATTATATTTCCCCAATAGGCAGACAGCTAGTAGCTACTAACTAGTTATATTAATAGAATGTAGAAAAGTAAAGTAAAGTAAGAAAAATATTATTCAATTAAATATGCATGTTAAATTAAAATTTCCAGAAGGACATACTGGTATTTAATAAGATCCTTTAATCTCGATTTCGTGACGTTTATCGGGGGGGGGGGGGGGGGGGGGGGGGTGGGGGGATTTCACCCTATATTTTCAATCCTCCTCCTCCTCCTCCTCCTCCTCTTCCTCCTCCCTCCTCCTCCTCCTCTTCCTCCACCTCGAAAAATTGTCAAAATCAGGTCCAAGATTTTAAAAATCGAATTAAAAATGTTTAAAGGCCTATCTCAAAATTTTGTCTGTACAATCTCTTCTAAATGGTCCTTAGAACATATCCTGAAAGTTTGAGGGTGATTGCTGAAAAAATGTAGGAGAAGATAGATTTGTAGACTTGATTTCCAGGGCAGGCGATTAAAAATCGCTTGCACAATACAATTACACACAAGCGCTGACTTTTTACCGGCGATAATTTCGGCTAGGAACAATATTTTTCTATCGGATTAAAAGCATCTGATAGATATCACTCCCCTGTAACAGAAACAAAAAAATTTCTCGATTTTGAGAAAATTTCCATGAAGACCACCCCTGCCCCCTTAAGTGTAGGTCAACTCAAATTAATAATAGGTACCAGGTACCGTAATTGTAGTTGCTGAAAGTAGGATAAAAACGAACATAAAGAAGTTCGCTTTTGTATATCACAAAGAACAGCTTAAAAGATATACAGTAAGCCTAATAATGTTAATATTTATTGGATATTGATTGAACAGTTTTGTTTAATAAGTGTTGTATAAATAAGTCAACAAAAAGAATATTCCTCCGCTTTTTGTACCCCACCTTAGTGCCCTCAGCTCATCAAACACTTCACAAAGGGTTCACATCGTGTCTTGTCAGTTCAACAGTTCGTTCCCGCTGCGCAAGGGTCTGAATTCTGAAATAAATTGTTTTACTATTAGAGCTTTTCGTTGTCAATAAAAACTAGGTCTCCATAGTTATAATAACGTAATAACATAACGTTAACATTGTATTAAAACTTTGTTAAATCTTTGATTTTAAATTCTATTTTGCTTTTTCAAATGAACCTCAATAAAGAAATTAGGTTGTTACTGTTCCCTGTGTTGAGATCTCAGGGCAGGTTACCTCGATAACTCTTCTGGAGGCTTCTGGAGACTGAAGTTCTGTCGTCATACTTATTCACTAAGGACGCTCTAGTCACTAGTGTGAATTTATTTATTAAGATATCTAAGTTAGAATGCCGTATCATCATTAAGTCATTAGCTGTAGTTGTTATTTAATTAGTCTTCTATAGTAATGGACTCTTCCCCCTATTTTATTTTCCCCCTTTAGCTTTCGTCGGTTCTGATGAGATCTTTTGCCTGGCTGTATAAAATATAAAGGGTTTAGTAATCCTGTTGTGGTGAATGGTGATGCTATGGTTATTTAGCATGTTTACTGTTTCAATACCTGGATGTAAACACTCGGGTTCTTTAAATTGGAAAATAAATTCCGTTCCTGAGTTGCAGGTCACCTCGCTGCTCCCTTTATTGAGAGCTCCTGAGTCCGAGCATGTCACTTCCACCACAGTTCCTGGAATTACTGGGAACTGTGTTGTTGTTCTGATCGTAGTTGACCACTCATCTTTCAGTCCCGTGCAGCTCACTGTAGATATATCATATTGAATCACGTTTACCTGATTAATTTGGTTGTGTGATACAATAATTATAACCGTTATTTTAACAGTTCTATCCTAACCCGAACCCTTTTAAGCAACCAGCACTAACATAACTAAACCATTGCTTGCTCGGGGGTCCGAGTCTCAAATACTGTGTAACAATAGTATAAGCTTCTAAGTTATCTTACCACAGGCAGTTTTGTCAGTGTTTGATGTCCATCCTGCGTCACATGTGTCACAGCTTTTCATATCTTTGTTCTTGTAGCTTCCAGCTGGACACTCAGCTGAAAAATAAAGAAGTAGTTAGAAAATAATGAGCTATAAAATATAGAAATGTGAATAATACAGAATACCCTGAATTATCCCCTGGTTCTAAGATAAGAATCCTTACCACACGCAGTCCTCCCTGAGTTTTGTTCCTGGCCAGGGTCACAAGATGTACACAAGGTTGCTCCTTCTGAACTGATCATATTATCAGGACATTCTTCGCACGTGTTCATATCAATATTCTTGTAGCTTCCAGGTGGACATGACTCTGAAGAAATTGGAAATCTTTAAACAGCAGATCGTTTGAATCACCATATTGAAAAGTTATTTTAAGTACAATTTATATCCTCGGTTTTTAAACAAGTGAAGCTCGGACTATTCTTTTAAGGGGGCCGGGGGGGGTCTTCATCAAAATTCTCTCGAAATTGATTTTATAGTTGTTTCTGATAGAGGGAAGTGATATCTATCAGCTGCTTTTGGTCCCATAGAAAAATATTGTTCCTAGCCGAAATTATCGCTGGTCAAAGGTCAGCGCTCATGCATAATTGTATCGCGTGAGCGATTTTCAATCGCGCGTCCTGAAAATCAAGTCTAAAAATCTATCTTCTCCTACATTTTTTGAGCAATCACCCTGAAACTTTCAGGATATGTTCTAGGGATCATTTAGAAGAGAAGAATCGAGCCGATTTTTGAGATAGGCCTCAGAAAATTTTTAATTCGATTTTGAAAATCTTGGACCTCATTTTTTTACGATTTTTTCAGGTCCAAAATTTTCAAAATCGATTTAAAAATTTTCTGAGGCCTATCTCGAAAATCGGCTCGATACTTCTCTTCTAAATGATCCCTAGAACATATCCTGAAAGTTTCAGGGTGATTGCTCAAAAAATGTAGGAGAAGATAGATTTTTAGACTTGATTTTCAGGACGCGCGATTGAAAATCGCTCGCGCAATACAATTACACATGAGCGCTGACCTTTGACCAGCGATAATTTCGGCTAGGAACAATATTTTTCTATGGGACCAAAAGCAGCTGATAGATATCACTCCCCTCTATCAGAAACAACTATAAAATCAATTTCGAGAGAATTTTGATGAAGACCCCCCCCCCCCGGCCCCCTTAAAATGTACGCACAATCATAATTGTTAAAGGGGTCACAATTTTGAGTATGTATCATATTCATAATTTTAACAAATGTACGAACAAGTTTTTAACTAACCCTTCCAAGCAACCAGCACTAATGTAACTAAACCATTGCTTGCTCGGGGGTCCGAGTCTCAAATACTGTGTAACAATAGTATAAGCTTCTAAGTTATCTTACCACAGCAGTTTTGTCAGTGTTTGATGTCCATCCTGCGTCACACGTGACACAGCTTGTCATATCTTTGTTCTTGTAGCTTCCAGCTGGACACTCAGCTAAAAAAACACAGATTGAGAAATTTTCTTGGCTCGAAGCCATTTTCAAAGTGGTTGACTTCAACAAGTCCAACTATCATATCACTAGTACAATACTGCCGGTTCTGACTTAACCCAGATTTAAGGACCCCATCGTAACCCTTACCCCAATCTCACACTTGCCGGGTCTTGACAAAAATACTTACCACAAGCGCAATCTGAGTTTGATTCTTTGCTATAAATGTTACAGCGTCCGCAGAAGTTTTAAAAAAGTATGTGCGGCTATAGTTGTCATTTTAAAATTGTAATATATTACTTTGCCGAACTTTATTTCAACGGACATTAATTGGACGCTGGAGGCCCTAGCTTTTATTTTAATGCCCGTTCAAATAAAATGTGTACAAGTCAAACTTCTTTGACGGTTTTCCCAAAAGTGTTCCACTACGAACTTATTGTCCAGAACATGACTACATTTAAAACATAACAATAGTATAAGCTTCCAAGTTATCTTACCACAGGCAGTTTTGTCAGTATTTGTTGTCCATCCTGCGTCACATGTGTCACAGCTTGTCATAGCACCATTCCGATATGTTCCTTCTCCACATAGCTCTGAAATTATAGCGGTACAAGTTGCACTGGTTTCTGGACGATAAGGAAATCGTTATATAAGTACAGTTCAGTGGTGATACAGAACTGAAAAATAAAGAAATAGTTAGAAAATAATGAGCTAAAAAATATAAAAATGTGAATAATACAGAATGCCCTGAATTATCCCCTGGTCCTAAGATAAGAATCCTTACCACACGCAGTCCTCCCTGAGTTTCGTTCCTGGCCAGGGTCACAAGCTGTACACAAGGTTGCTCCTTCTGAACTGATCATATTATCAGGACATTCTTCGCACGTGTTCATATCAATATTCTTGTAGCTTCCAGCTGGACATGACTCTGAATAAATTGGAAATCTTTAAACAGCAGATCGTTTGAATCACCATATTGAAAAGTTATTTTAAGTACAATTTATATCCTCGGTTTTTAAACAAGTGAAGCTCGGACTATTCTTTTAAAATGTACGCACAATCATAATTGTTAAAGGGGTCACAATTTTGAGTATGTATCATATTCATAATTTCAACAAATGTACGAACAAGTTTTTAACTAACCCTTTCAAGTAACCAGCACTAATATAACTAAACCATTGCTTGCTCGGGGGTCCGAGTCTCAAATACTGTGTAACAATAGTATTAGCTTCTAAGTTATCTTACCACAGGCAGTTTTTGTCAGTGTTTGATGTCCATCCTGCGTCACATGTGTCACAGCTTGTCATATCTTTGTTCTTGTAGCTTCCAGCTGGACACTCAGCTAAAAAAAACACAGATTGAGAAATTGTTTTGGCTCGAAGCCATTTTCAAAGTGTTTGACTTCAACAAGTCCAACTATTATATCACTAGTACAATACTCCCGGTTCTGACTTAACCCAGGTTTAAGGACCCCATCGTAACCCCAATCTCACACTTGCCGGGTCTTGACAAAAAATACTTACCACAAGGCACAAGCGCAATCTGAGTTTGATTCTTTGCTA